GAGCATCAATATTCTTCATTTTCTTCTCTCAAAAATTAGAATTTGATTGCATTCTAATAATTTCGCTATGAAATATAACTCGGAAGAGCATTACTAGTCTCACTCATGCCAAAGTTGAGCATATAAGTGTGACACATGCTATATCTTATCTCAATATCGTGAGAAGTTGTTTCCCATTTTTTAATATGTGACTTTTATGTCACAATGGAGACAAACCATTTTTTGAGTTCCAATCTCAGTTATGACATCAAAGTTTTTTTTTATCCAAGAAATATAAATGGAACCTTGCTTCCAAATTGTTATGCCATTCTTTTTGACACCTTCGGTCCTATTATTCTTGTTGGTATATCATTCCTAGTATTTATTCTTTGTATCAACCTATTAGGAGACTCCTTTTAGGTTGCATGGTTATTTGTAAGCCTAGAAACATGTTCAATGCCCCTCACCTTATTTTTTATTTTGGATATTTAGTCCCTATAATGAAGCTATACTTGGATTTCTTGTACGTGTTTCCAGTGGTTTACTATTGGTAGAGTCTATATTATGCCTTATATAATTTTTATTTTGCTTATTGTTGAGCTTAGAGTTTTAATCAAACTAATTAATTAATTAGTTGAAAATTGATGATTAATAGGTTGATTTACCTGGCTAGGTATCTCTTAATAGCCTCTTCCCTTTGCTTGAGACTATTGACCCTCTCATTGCTGTTCCATGACATCCACAAGTGATCCAAATACTCTTAGGGTCTCAAGAAACCCCACTTGCCTTAGAATACCTCTAGCTTGTATCATGTGAATGATCTCTTTGTGTCGCTCTTCCTCCACTCTTCATCCCTATCTTTTTAGCTTTCTCTAATGCTAGTTAGGTGTCATAAGGCGATCTCGTTAGATGTCATAAGATCTCATATAGCATCTCAAGTGATAAAAATTTTCTAGAGTTTTTATCTATTTTTGTGTTACTAAGGACGGCCCTAGACTACCTTGTAAGGTTATCAGGTTGCTCAGTCAATTAAAGCCTTCTCCTTATCACGGTTAAAGGACAAGGACGAGCCTCATGGCTCCGAACTTGCCTCCGCATTGGGGTGTATGTCAATATGACTCCTGTGTTTCTCAGGCTCAACTCGTGATGTAGGCAGGGGGGGGGTGGTCAAATCAAATCCTAAATTTTGGTTTTGACTTCTCTTGGGCTTGCTAGCTCATTACTATTTTGAGCTAAAATCTAGCTCATTATCAGCTGTTTTTTTGTTCATTTATTTAAGAATTATTAGCTTCATTCCCCTTTTTCTTTTGTCTTTTTGGTTTCTTCGCGTGTCTCTTTGATTTCCCCCACTTTATCTCTTCTCCTTCCCTTTGTCTTCTCGTTTTCCTGTGCTGGTTGATTGTCCCGTGGCTTGGCCCCTTTGATTCTCGTGGTTGGTTGCTTGGTTCCCATGGCTGTCTGCTTGGTTCTGCGGCTGTCTGCTTGGTTCTTGCGGCTGTCTGCTTGGTTCCCATGGCTTTTCTGCTTGGTTCCCGAGGCCTCTCCTCTGTTTTGCTGTACCGTATGGGGGCTGCCGTTTGGTGGCTGTTGGGTGGGGATTTCCATGAGTTTTTCCCTGTTTTTGTGCAGTTTTTGTGGGATGTTGTGCTGTTTTTGTGGTTGTTCGGTGGCTGTTTTAGGAGAGAATGCTGCCCCTTTTTGGTGGCTTTTCATGTGCTATTTTGGGATTAAATCTGGGCTGATTTCTAGACAGATTTTTGGAAATACTTTTATGGGATTTAATGAAGATAAAATGGCTGTTTGGCTGCCCTCTTTGGTCCTATAAATAGGAGATGTTTGGGATGTTATAAGGAGCTTATGATGTGATTTTTGGAAGCCATAACCTGCGGGTTTGTTGTTTGGAAAAGCTTGCGAGCTTTGTCCAACTTCTCTTCCTCTCCTCCTTGGGAAAGCTTGCGAGCTTGTCCTCCTCCTTCGTCCTGGCTTCTAATCCCTTTCTTCTCTACGCAAGAATCCACCCCACATGTATCCTTCTTCTCAACTAATGGAATTGCTACTTTAGGTTGTTTGTGTCCAAGTTTGTTTGAGTCATTTGTAAGCGTCAAAGGTTTGTAAGTCTTTTATATTAAAGTGAAGTTGTTTTTAGTTCAATTGTCACTTTTTGTGTTCTTTGGTGTAGTTTCTATTATCCTAGGAAGAGTTTCTTTTTGTAATAAAAAATTTGGGGCCCTTCCCAAATTTTTGATTGCATCAACTCGATAAATAACCTATTAGTTGAGCTTGTTGAGCTAATGAGTCATGTTTGAATTAGCCCCAACTTGAACTATTATAAAAAATAGTAATATAATAAACTTAAAATACATGAGAATTCAATGATTTAAATGGAGAAATATTAAGAAAATAACATAAATTCTATTTTTCTTTCTTTTGTTAATTGATTTTTTTATTATTTTTCATCCAAATTCTGATTCTTCTGATCATTTTATTATTAAAAATTTTATAATTGATATTATCTTCTCTCTTTCAGAATAAATTAAGTGGCTTGAGCTCAATTAATTAGTTAATGGCTAAACTTGACTTGTTTACACTTGTACCTTTACCGGTCAATATTTTAGCGATTAACCAAGCAAATGTGTCTCTTAATATACCAGTCTTGCAGCATATGTTGTCTTGCGGGAATTTGGTTGACAGGTCTAATAACTTGTTTGACATGATCTAAACCTACCAACACATTAGCCTTACCAAGGATCTCCCTTTGGTGGGTAAATCAAGTGATAAGTGCGAACAATCCCACATCAGCTCCATGAGACTCTTAATTGTTGACTAAGTAAGCTCAAGCAAAGTGACACGTTGGTCCTACATAAAAGTCATTTTATTTTTAACGCATTCTGCATGACTCATTGTGCTTATTGATTGGTTGGCCTCTGGTCTAGTATGTACATTTGCCTTTTGGGTTATGCCAACGAGGAGGCTTTACGGCCCCATAAACGCTGCATGGTAACTATGTGGCAGCCATATGTTAGCTCTTGTTTGTTACATCAACATTCACCATGTGTTAACACTTCTGGTTTTCCACGTAACACAATTGTTCATCCATGACATTTTAAACTGTTTAAAAATTGCAATAAACCCTTGATTTTGTAATTACATAAATTAAATTATTTTATAAAAATATCCCTATTATTTTAAGTTCAAGATATCAGTTAAAAGTTAGCTAAATGCTTTTCAAAGTAAGCAAAAATATAAAAACATCTCAAAATTTAAAAATCCCAAAAAAAATTTAGATATTTTATAAATATTTACTTGGAAGGATCACTTCATAACAATCTTTTAATGCTTTTATGACCATTTTAAAAATACAAAATTACCAAATAATTATTTAAAAAGGAAAAAAATATGCAAAAATTTCTAGAAATAAGGCAAGCTCCCAAAAATTATAAAATACATCTTGGAAGGATCACTTTATAACAATCTTTTAATGATTTTATGACCATTTTTAAAATGCAAAATTACCAAATAATTATTTAAAAATGAAAAAAATATGCAAAAAATTTCTAGAAATAACTAAATAAGGCAAGTTCCCAAAAATTATAAAATACATCTTGGAACCCTAGACAATATAGTTGGTTTGATACACTCTCCTTCAACAGTATACCAATGCACCTCGGAATTAAATCACTTTGAAAGCATGCCAACATCTTGTTGCATTCATATATAGTGGTAGGCATGTTAGAGCATCAATCCTACCCTACTGAGTTTGCTTATTTAAGGATGAATAATTTTAAATTACAGAAAATCCTTAGTATTTAAAATCCAATAACCTAACTTAAAATGAATTAAAATTCCTTAATAGTTATGAAGAATTCTAAATGGCCTTAAATTTTTAAAATCCCAAAATTTAGGAGAATCCTAAATATTTATCAAGAAGGATCACAACAACAACAAAAATAACAAGCCTTTAATCCACTTTGTGGAGTCTCTTACATGAATCTTTTTTCTCCATTGAATTAAGAGAGGAGGTACCAAATTACAAAAATATTTAATTTTGTTATATTTTCCATTTTTATTATTTAAAGTACTATATATATATATATATATATATATATATATGTATGTTGCAAAGCTTTCTTACATACAATATAAAGCCTAAGCAAACTATAATCATATTAAGATCTTGATTTGCCAGCCAAGGCTCTATGTGCTAAAATTACCAGAGTGAGTTAAGGTCTTCTCTGAAATTTCTATCCATGCATGAAACCTTTGACGAGCTGAGGCTCTAAACCTCACCCTTAATCTTGCAAGGGCCTCAAACATTGAATGACAAGATCAAGATTTTGATTGTGAACTTGGAGACAAGGCCCTATTCTATCAAAATTTTCATAGCTAGCCAAAGAGAGCATTGCAAATCGTAGTCAGGCACCTTTTACTTTCACTTCTTTTGGAGCTTATTAGATTATGGGTTGCTGATAAGGAATTTATTCACAACCAAGGCTGTTTGATAACCAAGGACGGATAGCATAGTAAACCATGGATATTTAAATCAAGGATCTTGACATAGTTAACCAATCCTATCCTAAACATGTTCCTAAAGTCATACATGGCTCGTAAACTTCTCAATTTTTGAGCCAAGCAACCTCCTTGATTGAGCTTATTTCCCTTATTGAGAGAGATTTATTTTATGGGCTTGCACCCACAGGAAATCTCAAAGCTCATTAGGATAACTCTTATTCAGAATATTTTTTTTCTTGACCAAAAAAAAATCTAGAATTCTCTCGAGAACTTTGAGGCCTTTTTTTTCCTGAGTAAATCACTTTCATGTTATTGAGTGTTCTTCCAACGGTGTTAAAAGTGTGGTTAAATAAAGATGTCTATTTATTGTATTTCATGCCAAACCTATTGTTCATTCCTTCTTATTTTTAGTTGTATAATGGAGGAAATGAAGTTTGCTATAAATACATGGGATGATTCAATCTTTTATCGAGCGCCATGCCACTACTTATTTTCTTCTGGTCTCTTTTCAGGTGATGTTAACAGCATCAGGATTGGATCTGGAACTAACATTCAGGATAACTCTCTCGTTCATGTGGCAAAATCTAATATAAGTGGGAAAGTCTTGCCAACTATTATTGGAGATAATGTTACTGTAGGTAAGTAATGTGATTCAACTTCCGTGAGATTATTAAATATCTTTTCATACGGTGCTTATTCTATTATTTCCAATTATGTTGCAGTTATGCCAAAAGTTTCCTTGGCAATATTTGATGGACAACAATCTTCTTAAGTCCTAAAACACTCTTTTTTAACCATCATTTTATTATTGTTATGAGGAAGTATGCTATTGGGATTGACTACTCTCCTTAATCCATTAAACAAAAGGATCAGGATATACTCAATTTTGATCGTAATGGGTATTTCAAATTCAATTATATTTAAACATGAAATTATGTGATTTTGATTTGCAGATAAATTCAAGAATAATTAACATAATCCAAATTGTATAACAACACAACAAAGTATTAAGATATCTATATCCTATCAATAGAACAAATACGATGGAAAAATTGACACGCCAATTTTGTAAGAAAACCTTGATGAAAATTGGGTCAGATATCCTTACTCAATTTTTTTTTCTTTGCTTCTTAAGTTAATTGTTGCAGAGATGAGGATGCTCAAGTGAATGAGTTGCTTTATTCTTAAAGACAGGATATGAAATGAGCATATACGTGAAAAGGTTCGAGTAGCTCCTGTGGAAGATAAGATTAGAGAGAGTCGCATTAGATGGTTTGGTCGCATAAAATGGCGGCCTTCCGATGACCCGGTTAAGAAAGTAGATGTATTAGATTTGACTTAATATTAAGCAAGGTAGAGATAGACCTAAAAAGACTTGGTTAGAAAATATTAGAAATAATATTTTTTTATTAGATTTAAATGAGAATTTGATTTTTTACATGACACAATGGAGAACGATTCATGTAGCTGTCCCCACATAGTGGAATAAAGGCTTGTTGTTGTTGTTGTTTGCTTTTTTTTTAATTCTCCAGTTTACTTCAATAACGGTCTAAATTGTATCAGTTAATACACATATTTGGGAAGTTCCTTGTTTCTAAACGTTGGTACTACTACAGGGCATAGTGCTGTGTTACATGGATGTACTGTTGAAGATGAGGCTTTTGTTGGTATGGGGGCAACCCTGCTTGATGGCGTGGTTCTAGAAAAGAATGGAATGGTTGCCGCAGGAGCTCTAGTGAGGCAAAACACAAAAATTCCTTCCGGGGAGGTAATTTTCCTGCTTCCTCTTACGCTTCGTTTGGGACGGCTTTCTTTCTGTTTCTTAAAGCGGCTTTTTAGTTCAAAATTTTTTATTTTTTACTAGAAAGCTATTTTAGAAGCAGAAAGAAAGCCGTAAGCCGTCCTAAACAAATCCTTAGTCTAATATCACTCATTTAAATACTCTATATTTCAGATAGTAATTTTTCTCTATTTCCGTCTTACAAGATTATGAAATTCAAGCTTAATTAACTTTTAAAAAGCATAATTAACTTTTGATTGTTAAAACTCTAATGGTCTCCTCATTGTTATATGAGCGATTTCCTGGGCAATAGAATTTATCATTCTGTTTGATATTTGGAGTTATGCTTTATAAATGTTATTTTTAAGGCTACATGCTTTTAATGAGAATTTTAATAATCACATGACAGGTATGGGCTGGTAACCCAGCCAAGTTCCTTAGGAAGCTAACAGAAGAAGAAATAGCCTTTATTTCCCAATCAGCACTGAACTACAAAAACTTAGCTAAAGTGCATGCTACTGAGAATGCCAAACCATTCGACGAGATAGAGTTCGAAAAGCTCATGCGCAAAAAGTTTTCCCGAGGCGACGAGGAGTACGACTCAATGCTCGGAGTCGTCCGCGAAGTTCCCCCCGAGCTCATTCTCCCCGACAACGTCTTACCCGACAAATCTCGCAAGTCTTTTCATTGAGCTCCAACGTGGTATATCCGTCTTATAGGCTTCATTTGGAACAGCTTTTTTTATTGCTTCTTAAAGCAGCTTTCTCGTACAAAGATTTTAATTTTTGTACCAAAAAATTGTTTTAAGAAGCAGAAAGAAAGTCGTCTCAAACGAAGCTATAGCCACCACCACAACTGATTTATGTGGAATGTTGTTTGAGGATAGTAATGTGTTAGTGAGGCTGGCCATTATGTTCTTTTTTAGCCTCCCAATAATTTATGGGTCGAGGTTTATTGTAGGATCGACCGTCTATATTTGGACTGCAGATTTTGCTATTTCAATCAATGTTTCAATGGAGCCAGATTATATTATTGCGTAGTTTGCTTTGGTCGTGAGAATTCCTGTAACTTTTATGCGGTTGCTTACTGGCTTTCTGGGTGAAGCTAAGGCTTCGTTTGGAACGACTTTCTTACTGCTTCTTAAAGCAGCTTTTTAGTTCAAAATTTTTGCTGCTAAACCTAAATTTACAAATCCCTGCTTGCTATTTGATGTCTGGTTGGAATTTTGTTCTCTCAGATCTGTAGAATGCTTCTTCTATTCTGTAATTTGGAAAGGATGGCCTTAAGATGTGCTCGAATGAGAAATATATGACTCTTTTATGGTGATAGCTATTCTAAGGTTTCGTTTGGGATGAGTTTTTTTACTGCTTATTAAAAAGCTGCTTTAAGAAGTAATTAGAAAGTCGTTTAAAACGAACCTAAAGAGGTTGGAATGACAATAATCTCTTTGGCAATCAACTTGGCTTTGGAAAATATTCAGTATGCTTGAAGAGATCTATATAACTACTCTCTAAATGCTTGCCCTCATAGCTTGTTGATCTTCTAGGGCTTATTTCCTCTGATTGAAGTTACAAAGCAGTAACCCTAGGCTTAGGGTGTATTCATGGAACAATTATTAGGTCCGGTGAACGTACGTAGAGGAACGTCTGGTCGGAGGTAAAATCCCGTAAAAAAACTCAGTATTTTTAGGTATTATTTGATAATAACGAGGAATACCGCTCTGTGAAGATCAATACCAAGTTATACCGAGCAATATCGAGTTGTACCGAGTTTTTTCTAGGAAAAACTCGGTATTGCTCGATATAGCTCGGTATTGGGTCTTCACATGATGATATTTCTCGTTATTGTTTGGTATTGCTCGGTATTTGCTCGGTATTTCTCTTTTTTTGGCGCGATTTTGCCTCCGACCGGACGTTCCTTTACGTCGGGTCGGAGGACGTAATAATTGTTCGTATTCATGACGATTATAGGAGAATCATCAGATTTTGGATGAAAAAATTATACAATTTTTTTTCTTTATTTTTCAAAAAATTTCTATTTAAAAATTAGTTTAAAAAAAGCATAATAGAATGGCTTTGTTTGGGATGATTTTTTTATTGCTTTTTTAAAATAATTTTTTAGTACAAAAAATTTTATTTTAAAAAATTTTATGCTAAAAAAATATTTTAAAAAATAAGTAAGAAAACTGTTCTGATTTCAAAGTAGCTTTTAAAAATTTTTGACATTAATGATAGGGTATCATAAATGGACCAAATGAAGCAAAAGTTTTATATTAGGTTAATTATTAACAAATAATTGATACTGTGGGTGTCAAGAACAATTATTACGTCCTCTGACCGGACGTAGAGCTACGTTCGGCCGCTAATAAAATGTCGCCACGTGCTCTTACTCTTTACCGCGCGGCCCGACGACTTGACCCGGATCGGAACCCGGGAATGCTATGTTCGAGTATTGCGAGGTATTACTCGGTATTTGCTTGATATTGCTATGTATTGCTTGGCAATAACGAGAAGTACCACTATGTGAAGACCAAAACTCGGTACAACTCGGTATTGCTCGTTAATACTCGATATTTGCTTGGTATTGCTCGATATTTGCTTGGTATTGCTCGATATTTGCTCGGTATTGGTTATTGCCGAGCAAAATCGATAAATACCTAGCAATACCGAGCAATACGTAGCAAAATCGAGAAATACCGAGCCATCCTGGGTCTTCCGGGTCGGGTTGCCGGGGCGCACAGTAAATAGTGAGAACGCGTGGCGTGATTCTACTGGCGGCCAAACGTAGAGCTACGTCCAGTGACCGGACCAAATAAAAGTTTAGCCATAATATACTAAATCTTGTTTTTTTTTTTTTTTTGCCGAACAACTTGATTTGCTAAATCTGGGATTTAAGGCAAAATCGCAATAGGCAGAGAGAACGAGATTTATTTAAGTTTTTGTAGGATTTAAAAGGGCTGTTTGGTAGAATTCAAGATTTCATTTAAGTAGAATTTGTAAATCCTCTAAATCCGGATTTATGATATCCTAGGGGGTTAAATCCTGACATTTTGGTAATATTTATGATAAATCTTGTTAAATTCTGTGTAATTGTTTGGCTATTCAATTGAGGATTTAAAGCTTTTAAGAGATTTGACATGCATTTCTTGGATAATTAAAATACAACAATAGAAGTTCAAATAAAATACAATAAAATTTTTATAAAAATACAGCAATAACATAAATTTAAGATTAGTTTACTCATTTTAAATAATCATCAATTAAATTAATATTAATAACTTTTAGAATTATCTAAATTTGAAAGAAAATAATTGTGATATAATTGTAAACCTCAAGTCCACAAAATAGATTATTTAAATCATGCAGAATTTGCTTCTTTTTTGTTTTTGAAAAAAAAAAAATCATATAGAATCTAATCAACAAATAAATTATTTATGACTTAATAATTAATTAAGTTAATTAAGTATTAATTTCTATTTAGATAAATTAAATAAAAATAATATCAGTTATTGATATATCATAAAAAAATTATCTTGATTGGGCACGAATCTCAAGGCAATAATCAAGTTGGAAAACTTCAAAATTATAAATCTCGGAACATCTGAACTCTAATTTCAGCAAACTTATAGTCGAACTGAACGTCTCAGAAATATGAACCCAACGACACCAAATTCAACTCAATCCGAGCCCAAATGAGTCCAAATCAAAGACACGAAGCACATTTTGAAGGTTCAATCCATAATTTGGATTACTAAATAGTTTCCAAATATGACCTTCTTATAGTCAAATCTAGCATTTCGAAGAGACGAATCCAACGAGCCCAAGATCGTCAAATTCTGACATCATTAGAGCCTTCAAATGCTTGATAAACGGTCCACAATCAAGGGATTCAACATCGGTCATCGATTCAAACCACTTCAAATTTACTCATGATCTTTCTCCTATTTATTGATCATGCCACTATCAGAAAATTATAAATAGACCCCTCATTTCTCTTGAGGGGAATCCCAAGCAAGAAGAGAAGGAAAATAAGATAATAGAAAGGAAGAAGATAAGAGAAGGAAGAGACTCCTCCCTCCTCGACCACTGTCGTACTTTCACCCGGCAGCCGATCGATGTCAGAATTAAGCAAGGAAGCAAGAAGAGAATAGAAAGAAGTAGAGAAGGAAGAGAGTTCTCGACCACAGTCAAACTTCCACTTGATTGACAACTGACGTCAGAATTCTGCTCAACTGTCAACTAGCACCGAAATTCTGCCCGACACCCGACTAACCTAGGAATTCTACCTGACCATCAATTGAAGCCAAATTTCTTCCCGACCACCAAAAAGTCGCAGGATTTCTGATCTCTGTTTGTAACTGAATTTCAACCCAAGAGTTGTAAACTAATCGTCCTCAATTTCATAGACGAGTTAGCCACTTATAACTTAAGCAATCATTAGTGGAATCCTTTCAATTGGATGTGCCTCCGTGATTTTTCCCTTCCTAGGGGTTTTCATGTAAAAATTCTGGTATCACGTTTTTCTTCTGTTTGTGTGATGGATATCTATACAATGATGAGATGAAAACTTTCTAACTCTATCATTGCGCTTATTCTAGCCCGCAACCGTTATAGCTAATTATTTTTTTTTATCGAATTGAAATAAAATTATAATTAGCATAATCTAATATCATTATTAATTAATTAAATATAATAATTTTCATTAAAAATAAGTTATAAATAATATTAATTTACACGAATTAATGTCTAATTAATTATTTTTTCGTGTTCTTCTTCGGCTACTTCGTCGCTATTCGACTTCTCCACGAAGGCGTTCCCTTTTCCTGTTGGATCGGAAGTTACGACATTTTGATCGGAAGCAATGACAGGAGCTCGCTCGCTGTGAAGGTAACTTTCTCCCTTTCGCGCGCTTCTTCGGCCAAATCCCGTAAATCCGCCGAATCAGAGCATTTCGGAAATCCGGGATACCACGAAAAGGGGTAATTTTCCATCTACGGCAGATTTCATCTACCGTGAGATTTGGTTTTGCATTTTAGGCCGTTTGGTCGGATTTCGCTCAAATTCGCCTGAAATCCGGCTTCGAAAGATGTCATTTTTGCCGTTGGGCACGATTTAGGTTAAATCCTGCATCCAAACTGCCCGAAATGAACCCAATCTTCAAAATGCATACAAGGAAAGCTTCTTTCCCTTTCCTCTTCCTCTTCTTCTTCGCTGCAATCCTTCTCTACTTCTACCACTACAACTCTTCCATCCAAGTACCCCAATCTAAAACCACTAATCACTTCTACTTCAATCACCAGAACCCTAGTCTTCTACATCACAACTTCTCTTTCACAGTCAAAGTTCTCACCTTTAACCGCATTGAATCCCTCCGCCGTTGCCTCCGTTCCCTCGCTACAGCAGACTACGCCGGCGATCGTGTTAATCTTCACGTCTTCGTCGACCATTTTCGCGCCATCAACGGCTCCGATGCGCTGGTGGATGGGAAGCTGGAGGAATCGCGCAGGATTCTGGATCTTGTTGACGGGATCCAATGGGTCCATGGGGAGAAGCTCGTTCATTACAGGACGGGGAATGTTGGATTACAGGCACAGTGGTTGGAGGCGTGGTGGCCAGTCTCCGACGATGATTTTGCCTTTGTTGTGGAGGACGATCTAGAGTTGTCAGCGCTCTACTACAAGTATCTCAAGGCTATCATTCTGAAGTATTACTATGACTTGTCTAACTACAGCCCGTTGATCTATGGGGTCTCCTTGCAGCGACCGAGGTTTGTTGCTGGTATGATTTCTTAATATATTGACGATAAATAGTCTTTTTTGCAGTCTGTGATTTAGTTTGTATGCTGTTGGATCAATTTCTGAGGTAAAAAAGCTTACCCACGAATTGTAGAAGCAAAAATGCAAATCTAACTCATTAGAGAATAATTTCTTGTAGACCTATGCTTGAACATAGCTGAAAACTTTGTCTGTGAAAATTGAGCTAATGATATGGATCCTAGTAAATTATAGAAGTATATCTTTATTTTTCCTTGTATGATATATTTTTGTAATTTGTTGAATTCGTATGATTTGCTTGGTTTGCTTTGGCAAAGGTTTTAGACACAGTAGAATTATTCTTGTCATGTTATTTGGAAATGCTTTTTTTTTTCTTCAGGGTAGTTCAAATATACTTCGGTTTGGTTTGTTGCATGCTAGGGGTGAAGTGAATAAAGGACACCATACTTTTTGTTTACTACAAAAATAATTGTACTTAGTTTACGCCAGCTGAGCTTTAAGTTTATTTCCTTTTCAAAACTTCTGCAAACAAACAAACAAGTTTCTTTCAATTTTGTTGTTTTTGTTGGTGATAGAATAAAATTTGATTGCCTTTTCGGGGATCATAACACATTATTTAATCATATTAACTGTTGTTTGTAGTATGATCTTGGTTTTTGCACTGCTCATGTTGTAAAGAATAGGAGTCATCATGATGACAAACAATGTATCCATTTTGTTTTTGTTACTGAATAGGTAAACATGGAAACAAGTTACAGTTGGATAGGGAAACACGCCTTTTCCTCTACCAGATTGTGGGTACTTGGGGCCAGCTTCTTTTTCCAAGACCATGGAAAGAGTTTCGGTTCTGGTATGATGCACATAAAGGAAAGGGCTTAAAACCTACTTTGCAAGGCATGGTAATTTCTTCTTCTGTTGTCAAATCCTTTGAAAACTTCTTCTTTTTTTTCTTCCCCATTCTATTTATCACCTTCATCCAGCAGTAAAAAAGGCTAAGCAACATACAGAGCTTATTCTGATACTATTTGCAGGTGACAACAGGCTGGTACGACAAAATGGGTGAGAGGATATGGACTCCTTGGTTTATTAAGTTTATCCATGCTAAGGGTTACTACAATATCTACACTAACTTTCTGCAAGAAAGGGCCCTCAGTATCTCTCACAGAGATGCAGGAGTAAACTATGGCAAAACAGCTGGTCCTGATTCAAATTTGCTGGATGAACAGCCCCTTGATGTTAACATTTGGGAAATGCAACCTTTAAAAAAGTTGAAATGGTATGATTTTTGCTTTAGAGAAGTTCTCCTTTGGAGATTTGTGAGGAGCTATGGTGAACTTGGATCTGTTCTTGGCTCCATGCAGATACGAAAACCTGTTGTAATTGTGAGCTTGTACAGAACCACAAATATGATGGCCAAAAATTTGCTTTGTCATCTTGAGAAGATTAATACAAGGAATGTAATCTTCATTGGTGGGAAGTTGGAACTTATCAGATCTCTCTCCCAAAGGGGATATGCAGTCATTGATTCAGAAAAGTTAATTAACAGCATTGGAAGTTACAAATTGGTTGGTTCGGAACCATCGAAAACCGATAATATAATGAAAGAGATCCTAGCAAAATCCATTGTTGTTAAAAGATCTCTAGAATTAGGCCATGAATCTTGGGTGATTGATGGGAACTTTCTTCCTCTGAGTGACTTTTTCTCTGAGCTTCCTCCTGATCCTACCTGTAGTTTTTTCTTTGCAAAAAGTTTGGAAATGTTCTTTGTGAGGAAATCTCAACTATCTTTGAAGATTTGGGTTGATGATTTTATCTGGAAACTTGTATCATCTGCAGCATCTGTAAAAGTCAGCAATTTGGTCTCTGTGGACTACAAGCATTTTGCATATTTTGCTAGAAAGGCCTTGGAAGATTCTGGAATTCTCAATGTGTGTTCATTTGATGAGTTGAGGATTGGTGTCAAAGTAGGTACTGATATGTTGAATAAAACATATCTAAATGGCTCCAAGATGGTATTCTGGTCTGAGAATCTGGATCTGAATTCTACTCAGAGAAGGCTGGACTACATGAAAATGTGGCTGATAGATGAAGACCAATCTTGTGTTTCTGTTATGTGCCACCAACAATAAAATCAGACTGAGAATAATTGTTCTTAGGCCTTCTTTATCAAAAATAAATTCCTTCTCATGGTTCTAAAGCTTCATCTCTCTGACATATTTCACCAGTCTTCATTGTTCAGGATCAACATGATTGAGAATTTCTACCCTTTACTATGAACACTCTACTTTTATGGGCGAGTAACTAAAGGAAAGAGAGATTATTCTGCGCCGATATCAGACATGAAGAATTGTTTGATTTTGTATGTGAAAAATATGCAGTTCACTGTGATTTTACTGTTCACGGAGACAAATCGGACGGTTCTATCCATCCGGTGTCCACACAGAATAATTTCTCCTAAAGGAAAAGGTTTATACAGAGGAATACGTTAAGACATGTAATAACAACTGAGCACTCAGTGGGTTAGCAAGTTTTTTTCAAGGACAAGTTGGCAACTTCTGCAACAAGGCTTATAGTTCTTATTTGGCCTGTGAGTTGGGGCTTAGAGTTACCATGGTTGAAGTCTCAAACTCAACTTGATGTGAGTATTATGTTCCTGATTGGTTTCCATAATAGCAAATAATGGTGCAGATCATTCTGTGGAGTGCCATTATAAATTTTACTTGTAGTGATTTACCATGGAGTGGAGTACTCCTAACCTTATTGTATATAGGTAAATTTTTGGTTTGAGTGTAGCTAAGAATTTTTTTTTTGGGTCTAATATGTTTTTTTCTTGAGAAAACAATTAAAATGATCCCTTAAATTGTTATAATGGATTAAAATAATCTCTAATTATATTAAAGGACAATTTGGACTTCTCAGGTCTTTAAAAATAAATCAAAATAGTTCATCTTTAAGGAGTTGATGGATCAAAATGATCATTTAATATAGTTGAGAATTATTTTTATATTTTATAAAAAGTTAACAAAATGATCATTTAATATAGTTGAGAATTATGCTTTTTAGTATTTGCTGTCTTTTTAGTCATGATCAAAGTTTTGATAATTGTTCTATTATAATTATACTTCTCAAATAAATTAGTTTAAAAATATATTTTTTAATGATTTGCATAAGCCACATAAACATTTATATAATAATTTCATATAATCTTTCATTTAAGCTTTTGTACAAAAAATTATAGAAGCTCAAAATTCTTTGATATCTTGTCAAATAATTGACAAAATTGTTAAATTGAATAAAAAGTAAATTCATGTGACACAATTTTTAATTGTAAAATAAATATTAATTTTAAAACAAAAAAATAAACTATAAAATTTTATCCTTAATGCATTATTCTCTTCCATTTTCAATAATTTAGGGTAATGTCATTAAAAAATAAATCAGTGTTTAGTTTTTTAAATAATAAGTTGCATTTTACACAAATAATTGCCCAAAAAACAAATTTGAAAGAAAAATAATAATTACTTTTGGGAAAAGTGTAGGATGTTTTTGCAAATTTTCCTTTATTCCCTCTTTTTTTTTTTTTACCTTGACAATGATCACAATAGAATGCATGAGGCATTGCATTAAGTACCAATTTCAGGCTTTCAGCACATTGGTATCTGACAATTTTGAAGAACAATTTGCTCTCTGAAGAGTTTTAAACCGATGTAACCATCCAAAGACATTATTCAGCTGAATCATAGGAGATTATTCTATGCGGAAACGGAACGTAGAATGTTGTCCGGAGACTAATCAAAATGCGCCACGTCAGCGGTACCGAGCCATGGCAACGAGCAGTACTAAGCCACGGTACCGAGCAAAGGGGTGATGAGGCACATTCTGGTTGATCTTGATCTCCGAACGATATTTGGCATTCGAATCATAGACTGAACTGGGCGACAAGAAGCTTACTGCAACCATTTGATGAAACTCTTTAAGTCCACTTCTCTACTTATCGTCCAGAATTCAATAAGTTCTGCTGCAAGTTCCAGACTCCCACAAAGAAGTGATGCAAATGCATAATTCCTGTTGATCAAGAATAATTTAAGGTAATATTATACAAAGAAGCTTACTATTTATAATTATCGATTTGCCTAATCAATCAAATGACCTCTTGAATACAAAGGGCTCACACTCTTTGACAAACTATTCACCAACTTAATCCTCATACCCAAATCATCTCATCCATTCCAATCAAAATCTTTGTATGCACTATTTTCGTCCACATAACACTCTGAACATAGCATTACAAAGCATGTTTGTCTATTTTCTGATGATATTATGATAGGAAACAGTTGTAGCTCTCAAGTATTTTTTATCACTCTTCGAAAAACAGTAAAAATTCTCCGCAAAAATTCACACAAAATCATGAATGTAATAGATAATTTGTATTACTTGATGAAATAGAAACGGAAAATAGCAAGATAGTTGATACTCAATTCGAGAGGAGGATCGATCTCTCCCAAATTCTCTAGCTGCTGCTAGAGCCCTAAGGAAACTTAAACCTAAGAGAGCTCAAATTTCAGCCAAATTCAAGATACCCTAACCCTAGGAAAACAAACTATTTAATGCATACAATCAAAATGAAATATCTAAATAGTCCCTATATTCAAATTTCCCTCCTAAATCCCTAAAAAATCCTTCCAAATTAACTCCTGTGGATCTTGCGGCTCGTGCGGCTCATACAGCACTCTTCCGCCTCTTATTACGTTTAAATAATAAGTTACCTTCCAAATTGACTCCTCTTCAGCCCGTGCGGCTCAATACGGGACTGGTTCGGTCTAACATATTATTCCACATGCATTACAAATAAGGATCAGTCGTTCAACATTTATAATGGAACGAGCAGAGCCACATCGAGCTCGACTTGTGAGCTCGATAAGCTCGACTCGCGAGCTCATAAAGTATTCAAGCTCAAGCCAGCTCACGAACCGTATTGGCTCACTTACACCCCTATCTACAATTATTAAATTTGGGAATTACCTTCATAGTCTAGTGGAATATTTGAAAACCACGAATCAAGGATGATAAGAGCTTTGAATTCTCTCTTGTTCGTTTCTCAACTCTAAATTCTTAGTCTCAAAGTTGCTCCATCACTTGTCAATCAATTGCTGCAGAAACTAGTTCACCTGCACATGAAAAGCAAAAGCTCAAGCTTGTATCTATTTTGGAATAGAACATATTTTTCATAATCAAATGTCATTTATGCCAAATTGCATGCTTCTTTAAATTAAAATTTCATATATCATAGCGAAGATATATACATATTGTAACTTGCAAAACAATTAACAATGTTCTTGTGGTTATATCTGTAATAGCAAGTTTCTGAATTGCTGGCTTTAAGTGCTTCTAATCACATTGTTGATGCTGCTATGATTTTCCATGATTATAAATCCTGCTCTATAAACCTCACTATTTGAATTGTAGATGGATCCCATTCTACTGTTGCTAACATTGGATTGTGACTTCGCTCATTTTTAAAAGACATTATCTTAAAGAAAGGCAGAGGTAGACCTAAAAAGACTTGATTAGAAAAGATTAGAAGTGATCTTTCTTTATTAGATTTAAACGAGAATTTGACTTTTAATGGGACACAACAGAGAAAAAGGATTCATGTAGCCAACCCCATGTACTGGGACAAAGCCTTGATGTTGTTTTTTTTGTTGTTGTTGTATTATCCTTAAAAATGCTCGCATTCTTAAATTGAATTGTTAACCTTTTTTTCATTCAATAAAATAAAGGATCTTAATTGAGTTACTAACTTCCTCCCAAATGTGTTAATTTTAGGCCTTGAAAATGGAGAAGATTGGCAATACAAATATGGCAATTAATCTCAGCCTCCTAAGAAAAGAATTTAAGTGCAATCATTAAAAAAGATATATAATTTCATCTTCTAGCATGAATAAAGAGAATGTCATAATGTTATGATCTTAAGATGAGGCCGTTTAAAATTTACTTCTTAAAAAATTATTTCCAATCTTATTCAAATAAAATTTTAGATCTCATCAATGTAAAATTTGTCAATTATCTAAACACTCTCACAACTCTTTCTTTAGAAACCCGAACAAATCAACCAATCATTTTTTCTAGATCAATAATGATCTTTGGTGGGCATCTAGGGTCAACGCTCAACAATATCACTGGCTCTAGTGGATTCTTTACATTCATCAATTATCACTCTTAGAATCTTGTGGTTCTTTCTTAAAAATAAAAAAATAGAAGTTAGCACCATATGTCAAAATTTAATTGAGATGGTTCAAACTCAGTTCCAAGCTAAAATGGACATACACCGCACTGATAATTGGCGTGAGAACTGACATTCTACGATTGAGTCCTACATGTGTTTTTCCATCAGAGCATATGTCAAACTCCACAACAAAATAGAATTGATTAAAAAAAAAAAAATTAAAGGATGGAAGTAGTTTGATCAATCATGCTTACCTCACACATTCCAAAACATTGATAATAGCTACAACATTTCTCATCAATCAATTGCCCTCTTGAATGCTAAAGGTCCAAACTCCTTCAAACTCTCCTCCAAACTTATCGTCGTACTCAAATCATTTCATCCAGTCCAACAAAATCTTCAAAGCATCACCTTTGTCCACATACATCCTCAAAATCACACTACAAAGCATGTTGTCTATTTTCTGGTGATACTATTCCACAAGCATTACAACAAGGATCAATCGTTTTATTCTTACAATAGAAGCACCATACAACAACAAAAATCATTATTGATATAGAAAACCCATCTACATCTTCCTCTACCTTTTTTTACATCTACCTCTACCTTTTTAATGTAGGCTAAGTCTAATATATCTACTATCCTAACCGGGTCATTAGATGGCCGACATTTTATGTGACCAAACCATCTAAAAGGCGACTCTCTCTAATTTTATCAGCCACATGAGCTATTCCAACCTTTTCACGTATATACTCATTTCACATTCTGTCTATAAGAGTGAAGCCACTCATCCACCTGAGCATTCTCATCTCTACAATGCTTAATTTAATTTTATGTTTCTGTTTTAATGGCCAACATTATATGTAATAAAGCATTGAAGGTCTCACCACCAACTTATAGAATTGTCCCTTAAGTTTGAGGGGTACTTTCTTATCACACAATCGGCCCGATGCATTCCTCCACTTCAACCATCTAACTTGAATTCTACTAATAATAATCTTATCTATCTCACCATTACTTTGAACAATAAACCTGAGATATCTAAAACGGGTATTCTTATTAATGACTTGATCGCCCAAAGTCATAATCCCTCCATTAGATCTATTACTACTAAAATTACACTCCATATATTCGATTTACATTTACTCAAAAGAAAACATTTAGACTCTTAAGGTTGACCTCCATAATTCAAGTTTATCTTCAATTCTCTCTCTCTCGGCTTATCAAAGAGAAGAATATAATCAGGAAAAACATACACCAGTGTACATCTTCTTGCAAATGTCCAGTAAGAACATCCATGACTAAAGCAAAAAGATATGGGCTTAAAGTAGATCCTTGATGTAATCCAACCAAAATAAGAGAATGCTTGGCCAACCCACCTTGTATTTGAACACAAGTAATAGCTCCTGCATATATATCCTTAATGGCTTGAATATAAGCATTATTAACCTCTTTCTTTTCTACAACTCTTAAAAGCACTTCTCTTAAAACTTTATCATAAGTGTTCTCTAAATCAATAAATATCATATATAGATCATCATTATTCTCTCTATACTTCTCCATCAAACCTCTCAATAATGTGTAGCTTCCATAATAGACCTTAACACGGGGAAACTTTTGTTGTAGTCACCCGTGCGGCCTTAGCACGCCTTCCTTGTGCTAAGGCTAAGACGCCTTAAACCCACACAATTTGGCTAAAAAGAGAGGAAGTGAATAGGTAAAAGCTTCACTATACAAAGGAAGTTATACAAGAGGAGTTTTGGAGGGGTGTGAGGATATTATTTCAAATGAGGGGGAGGGGTTTTATTTATAGCCCTTCACACTTACCTAAGAACATTCTAGAGTTCTCTCCATTATTCAAGAGTGTGGAGTTCTCTAAAACACTCCACATAGTGCCCTACACTCTTACATAATTTTATAATATTCTAGAAAGTTCTAGATCCATCCTATAATACTATCTAAGTATCCACACTATTCTAGAACATTCTAAAGTAGTCTAGAATCTTCCATGAAACTCTCGGCCTTCCTAGAACCTTTTGGAATCTTCAAGAGTCTTCTAGAACCTTCTAGAATATTCCAAAACTTTCTAGAATATTCTAGAACCTTCCAATGTCTTGTGACCCCATTTAGAAAGAGTTCTGGAGGACCTCTTTTCCCTTACTCTACATGTCATGCCCAAGGGGCTTGACCAAATCTCTAGTTTCAATATTTGGGCGTAACACTCTCCCCCACTTATTCTCACGATGCCCTCATCGCGAGCATGCTTGAAGCCATGATGAAGGTCCTCAGATCGCCACAGGTCCAACATGTATCTCTGGCTCACTTGTCCCTTAACCTTCTCTCCTAGGTTGGCTTCCTTGTCGTCTGCTAGTGCATCAAGGATTTGGGATCTCCCCCGGAGCTTTGGCTCGAACTCAAGCTGCACCACTGGAAAGACATCCATAGGTACATCGAAGACTTCTATCACCTCTATTGGAAAGTCTTCAATGTGAGCTCCTAACTCACTCCCATGAGTTAGATTGTCATCCTCATCCCTTTGAGTGTCTTCCGCAACCTGCAACTCCTTGCCCTTGAAGTTGCCTTCCTCTGGTCCTTGCTCTTGCACTACTTGTATTGCCTCCACCTATATGACCCTATCACCATCCTCATTTGTCACCCCTTGACATTCTACGAGGAGTCTTGGGGCCATCTTAGGACAATGCCCCATCCATTGAGGTCCTTCACAAACAAAGTAGATAATTCTCCTCTCCTTGCCTTGGCCCACTTATCTCTCTGGTAGTTCTAGCCCCCACGCCTTGATTTGATCCTGCAATCCCCATGTAGGTCCCCAACTTGAGCTAGTGATCCAATGAGCTCCCTCTTAAGCTCTCCATGCACCTCTGCTCGTCCACCAAGGATTCCTCTAATTAAGACTCCATGCCTCCTCTCACAACCTGGATGGTGGAACCCTGCTCCACAAGGCTACTCCCATCTTAACCAATGTCGTTCACCTGGGCCCTCATGCCATTCACAGCCTCTATTTGTCAAGGTAACCACGAACCAGAACTAGATATCCTCTCTTCGAACTTCCCCCATGGCTTAGATGTTGGATCACGCTACTCATCCATTCCTTAGCTTCCTAATGATGACTCCAAACTTTCATTACAAACCTTGCCTTCACTTGGCTTGTGCTTCTCCTTGGGATCAAACCTACTCTAATATCACTTGTCACGAGGAGACTTTGCCTTAGTCACCCATGCAGCCTTAACACTCATTCATTGTGCTAAACAACCTTAAACCTACACAATTTGGCTAGAAAGAGAGAAAATAAATGGAGAAAAGCTTCACTATACAAAAGAAGTTATACAAGAGGAGTTTTAGAGGGGTGTGAGGAGATTGTTTCAAATGAGGGGGAGGGGTTCTATATATATAGCCCTCCACCCTTGCCTAAGAACATCCTAGCTAGAGTTCCCTGCATTATTCATGAGTGTGGAGTTCTCTAGAACACTTCACATTGTTCCCTACACTCTTATATAATTTTATAACATTCTAGAGAGTTCTAGATCATCCTAGAAAACTCTCTAAGTATCTACACTATTCTGAAACATTCTGGGGCAATCTAGAACCTTCCACGAAACTCTAGGCCTTTCTAGAACCTTCAAAATCTTATGGAACCTTTTGGAGTCTTATAGAGCCTTCTATAATGTTCTAGAATGTTCTAGAATCTCTAAAATATTTTGAAACCTCCATAGTCTTCCAGAACCTTCCAATATCGTGTGACCCCATTTAGGAATAGTTCTGCAGGACCTCTTTGTCTTTACTCGGTATGTCATGCCCAAGGGGTTTGGCCAAACCTCTAGTTTCAATATTTGGGTGTGACATCTACCTGACAAGAATCCAATTTGATTTTGAGAAACATTAGTATTACATCGTAACTTATGCTCAATAACTCTCCTATAGTTTTAAGGTATGACACATTAACTTAATTTCTCTATAATTTGCACACTCTTCTGCATTAATTTTATTCTTAAAAATAGGAATCAACACACTTCTTCCCCACTCATCTTGCATCTTTTAATCTTCAAAATAGTATTGAAAAGTTTTGAAAGCCAACAAATTGCTCATCTCCTCAGCACTTTCATACTTGTATTAGAATATCATCACGTCCAACAGTTTTTTCACACTTTATTTTCTTTTAAATACTTTCTAACTTTAATTTTATTAATACGCCGATAAAAAAAAAATCTATATTTTCATTTAGGGTGTTAAGGTCACTAAAGTCAATCATATTCTCATAATCTTCATTGAAAAATTTTTCAAAATATTTCATCCGCCTTTGTTGAATGTCCTCTTCTAATAAAAGCGCTTTTTGATCTTCATCCTCAAACTAAATCCTTATTTCTCATATTTCTTTGCTTGGCTAATTTATACATATATCTTTCTCCTTAATAGAAGCACCATAATATTATAAAATTAAAGCAGAACCTTTAAAGCAATGTTTGAAATTTCAATTAAAACGCTTTTACCACTAAAACTTAAAAGATTTTTCACCCTTTATTTCAAATGCAGAGAAAAGAAAAAGAAAAATAAATAAGGATTCTAACAAATTTTCTCTCTCTACTTCTACTCCTAACAGAATTATTTTTCCTAGCAACCGATTAGATACATGAGATTTCAGTTGTGAAGCACCTATAAGTACCAAATTTGGATGTTAAATTACCTTCATACCCTGCTTCGGAGTGTTTGTGATCTTTCACGAGTTATCATTGTTTGGGCTTAGTTTGGTGGAATATTTGAAAACCACAGATCATGTTTGATGAGAGATTTACATTCTCTCACAGATGTTTCTCAACACTAAACTCTTAGCCTCAAAGTTACTCAATCACTTTCCAGTCAACTTCTACGTAGACTAATTCACCTGCACATGAAAAGCAAAAGCTCAAGCTCGCTTCTATATTGGAATGAAACACATTCTTCAAAAAATAAAAACCATTTTTTTTCCAAATTGCAGCTTCTTTAAATTAAAATTCCTTATATCATATCAAAGATACATACAAATTCAACTTGCAAAACAATTAAACCTGGATTACCTCTTATGCCAAGAAAAGTCATTTTGATTTGCATTCTTGATATGCTTGTTTCAAATTCAACTGAGGTATTTTGGCCAACCAATTTGTTGCCAAATAGAAATATGATTCTATCTCTTGGCTTATAAAACATCAAAGAGAGTTGGAAACAGGGCACATTCACTCAAGGAGCTGCATAAGATAGATCTTCCTCGCGTCCCTCAATCATTTCCCCCATTAATAAGGTCCCTGGCTTCTTGCCACTTTCTATCCAGCTATAAGCTTTATTCTTCTTAACACTTCTTGATTTCATTAGTAACCTTATCTTATTTGCCTCATCCCATCTTCCAGCTTCAGCATACATGTTTGCTAATAATACATAATACCCACTATGCCCAGGTTTCAGCTCAAAAAGATGCTCTGCTGCCCACCTACCCAGCTCAATATTGCCATGAACACGACAAGCCCCAAGCATTGCTCCCCAAACATTGAAATCTGCTTTAAATGCCATGTTTTTGATGAAGTTAGCAGCCTCATCCATTTGACCAGCTCGTCCGAGGAGGTCCACCATGCAAGCATAATGCATTTGTGTCAAATTAATTTTCTGAGCTAATAACTGATCAAAGTACTTCTTTCCCCGCTCAACTAGCCCGCCATGGCTGCAGATCGATAAGGCCGCCACATAAGATACATGGTCATGCTCTACATCATCATCTTCCATTCTATCAAATAAATCTAACGCAGTTTCCAGATCACCTTGCATTCCATAACCAATTATCATTGAGTTCCATGAGGCCACATCCCTCTTGAGGCATCTATCAAAAAATTTCCTACCTAGATCTACCCGCCCGCACCGGTTGTACATATCCAATATCGAGTTACAGCTAAAAAGATCGGAGTCAATCTGATTCCTCATTAAGAAACAGTGAACTTCCTTTCCATGCTTGACCGCAGGCAGATTGGCACATGCTGCTAAGACTCCTATGAAGGAAACAGTATCATACAACATTCCCATAACTCTCATTTCCTGAAACAGAATCAAAGCTTCCAAGCACCAAGAGCTCTGAGAATAACCCAGAATCAACACATTATATGAAACTTCATCCCTCTCGGATACATCGAAGAGATTTCTGGCAAGATTCAACTGTCCGCATTTAACATACATGTCGATTAAAGCATTGGATACGAACAAATCAATATTGTAACCGTCACGGATTGATTTGGCATGGATCTCCTTTCCCTTCGTTAGAGAAGCTATTCTAGCACAAGCTGGAAGCACATTTGTAAAGGTGACACCATTAGGAGTTTCCCCAATAAGCTGCATGTCACCAAGTAACTTGATTGCTTCCATTTCATCTCCATTTTGTGTGCAATTTGCTATCATAGCATTCCATGAGACAACGTTCTTATTCTTTATCCTGTCAAAAACAACAGCCCCCTTCTTCAAAAACCCACACTTTGCATACATATCCAACAGTGAATTTGCAACAAATACATCGGAATCCATTCCATTCTTAACACAATATCCATGAACTTCTCTCCCCAAATGAAAAAGATTGGGCACAACTAAAGGCAGGAGGCTAGCCATTGTTATACCATTAGGCTCCATTTCACTGGACAACATTTCCTTAAACATCTCCAGAGCATCTCTAGAAAGCCCAGCATGAGCAAGAATCCCAATAATAGAATTCCATGAAACATCATTCTTAACCATAATACTCTCAAAGACCTGCATTGATCCTTCCAAATCTCCACACTTTCCATAAACACCAATCAAAGCATTTCCAACCGTTACATTCAAATCCAATCCAACCTTAACCGCATATCCATGTATTGCATCTCCAAAAACTCCATCTTGCATAGCTCCAGCAGCAGGGAGAACACTAACAAAACTAACAGAATTAACTCCCAATCCAGACCTCACCAACTCCGAGAAGAACCTCATTGATACTCTATACAACTCATTATTAAAAAATACAGAAATCATTGAATTCCACGAAATGATATCTCTGTTAGGCATTTCATCAAACACCTTCCATGCACTTCCAGCGTCCCTGCACGCGCCATAAAATGCTACGAGTGTGTTGCCAACAAAGACATCAGAGAAAAACCCCAGCTTTATAAGACCACCATGCAGCTCCTTCCCCTTATCTTCAGCTCGAATATCACAAGAAACAGCGGCAGAGCAGGCGGAGAGGGCAAAGGGGAAGGTGCGATTGTCAGGCGAGACGGAGTTCTGAATCATGGAGTTATAAACGGAAAAAGATTGGAAATTGAGGCCGGATTGAGAAAGAGCGCGGACAAGTGAGTTCCATAGGAATGCGCTTCGGGGCTTGAAGGGGTTGAGATGGAAGAGCTGGAGAGAGGAGATGGGGTCGTTGAAGGAGGAGTAGGAGATGATGAGAGCCGCTAAGGAGGAGGGATTGTGATAGAGAAGACCGGAGGTGGAGGCATGGGCGTGTGATTGTTTCGTTTGGGAAAGGGATTGGGAGCGGAGGAGGAGCTGATGGAGGGAGATTGATGACGGAGATGAGGGCTTGGCAACGGCGGCGACAGTCTGATAGAGGAGCATAGAGATTTCCGGCGGCCGTGTGCGGCCGCACAAAGTGGAGAATTTGTGGTTAGTGTTGGTTCCAAAGTAATTAGCCGTTTGTATATAAAATAATTAGGATTTGGCAAGCATTAGATTATGACGAATATTAATATTTTGAATCAAAAAGGATTACAAGAACAAAAAATAGAGGAAATTACAAGTATAAAAAAAACAAAAAAAAAATTAATATTTTTAATTTATTTTAAAATACTACTGCAACCAAGATTTTGAAAATTAGATTTAAAATAAACCAGAAGAATGAGAGATTCACAGTTCGATGTAATTAATATTAATTTTTTTAAATATAACATAATTTACATAATAATTATACAATTATATAAAAATATGATTGAAAATTAAGCAGAATAAATAGTCATAAAATATAAAACATGAAAAAATACTTATTTTAATTTAATACAAAGTATTGAAGAAAAAAAATAATTGTTCTCATTCATTTAATCATATAATTTTACGGAAAAAAAAAACTCATATCAATTTTCTTGTAATTTGTTGTATTATTTGTCACAAAATAAACATTATTCATTTATATTCACAAAATAAACATTTATATTAATTCAAAGTCAATTCATATGAAGCTATAGATAGAAACATAAAATAGCAAAACATGACATAAATTTAAAACTTATAAATCTTCACTAAAGATTGATTCAATGATTCTCATAATTTTTTTGTTAATTTTATATGATACTAATTTCTTGTTGATTTCTTCAAATTTATTTGATCATTATATTATTGTTTGAGTTCTCATTCTTATATCTTTTGATTTGTGCCTAAAGGAAGTAAGCTTTTGAGTATTTAGTGATCTTTAACCTACAAATTTTAAATTCTCTTTTGCGATCTATATTCCCTAAATTTTCCTACTCCAAATTATTATTAGATCTTCTGGTTACATTATCATGTTAGCTTCAAGTTGGACATTTAATTGAGTCAATTAAAAAAAAAAAAACAAAGATGCAATTTAAGCAAAGTTTTGTAAACTACGGTTCTAGACTACTGCAACGTGATCTTTGTGACTTTCAATATTAAAATTTTACATTCGATAGTATGTAAGATTTTTGAAGACTTTAAATTGGATATAACATCAAATGACACACCTTGTCGCTCCAGTTTCCCCAATAAGGTGGTTGGCTGATCCCGCCGCTCCCAATTCTCGCATAGGATGCAGAAATCATCTAATTCATTATTATCACATTGCATTGGGGGATGCATGCATACTTATTGAGCCTCCATTGTGTGTTTGACATTGATGAGTTGAGCTCAACATCTACATTGGGTCGTGCTCCAAGCGGAAAGAAAGAAACAGACCGAAAGGCAGACTTGTAACTAGAGGAGCTTCACCGAATGAACGATTTACTCAAGGAAAAATGTCTAATGCCCATGCGAAGAGGAACGAAGCCAAGTGGAGAAGGGAGAACGAAGCCGAGTAGAGAAGGAACAACGAAGCCGAGCGAAGAACTCTGAAAGTTAGAATGAATGAAATGAGGGTTTGCTCAGGGTTGCTTATGAGATTAAGAGTTTAGGTTTTTTTTATCTGAAATGTATGATCATTATCTAATGGCTGAAAAAAAAACTCATGCTTAAACCAACCGGTTTCAGAGAACCGCAGGCGATTCGACAACTGGTCTAAGCAATTATTGAGCGCTTTGATGCGGATTGACCAAATCGACTAGCCGATTCGCGGTTGAACCAGTCGGTCTGGTCCGATTTTAATAACCTTGACTACAATAACAACAACAAGTATTTATCTAACTATATGAGGTCAGCCATATGAACCTTTTTTCTTCACACCTACTATCCTAATTGGGTCATCGGAAAGATGGATTTTTATGTGACCAAACTATCAAACTATCTAAGGTGACTCTCTCTAATCTTATCTACCACTAAAGCTACTCTAATATTTTCACATATATATTAATTTCACATTAACCACTAAAGCATCCTCATCTCTGTAACACTTATCTTAATTTTATGCTTCTCTTTTAGTGGCCGACATTTTACGCCATAAAATATCATAAATCTCATCACCATCTTATATAATTTTCTCTCTAGTTTGAGGGTACTTTGGTATCACACAACAAGTCTTATGCATTCATCCACTTCAATCATCCAACTTTAATTCTATTAATAATATCCCCATCTATTTCATCTTCACTTTGAATAATAGATCCGAGAAATCTAAAACATGTACTTTTATTAATGACTTGATCATCCAAAGTCGTAATCCCCTCACTACTAAAATTACACTCCATGTGTTCTATTTTAGATATACTCAGACGAAAGCCTTTATACTCTAAGGTTGAAAATTCGCTTCACCAAATTTCCTCCTCAAATGTGTATAAACATGGCTAATTCATATATTTTTGGAGGTGTCATCATGATTATTTCTGCAAGAATCATAGACTCCCATTTGAACACTCCGTATAAGTTGCCCTTCATCATTTAATACCTCTTGGACATCTCAATGCCTTTATGAACTCAAAATTTTACAATATTAAACTTGACATTTTCATCATGTTAATATGCTCATTTAGATTATAAGCATTCAAAGTTTTGAAGATGTTGAACCTATTAAATAGCCTCAAGAAAATTTTTAGTATACTTATGAATGCTTGATTTCTCATTTGGATTCAAATTCATGTGATTTTGTTCTCATTGAATGTAAACATCAAAATCTCAATGATTCTTTCTAAATGAGCTCTTTTTTTGTTTTTTGGATAACCTTTGAAAGGTTTAGGGATTCTTTGCAATGACTTTAATGGCATTGCCTTCTATTAATGGTATGGATCACTTCTCATCCATCTCTTTACCCTCTCGAGCCTTGTCATGCATATTAACGAGCAATACTATCAAGTTAAATAAACAAGTCTTGTCAAGCTTAATTATTAATATATATGTATATTGAGCTTACCAACAAGATTTTAATGGGAAGAACTTCTAGATAAACAAGTATTTTAATGAGCATAAAGAAGTAACTTATGTTTATGAATAAAATAATCCAATATATAAAAGAGCAAAACTCCCATACAAAATAAATTTATAATCAAGTAAAAAATGAGCATATCATCAAGCCTTAATTAAGCTTCTTAACGAGCTTGCCCATAAGCTAAAAGTAAATAGCTAAAAGTAAATGAAATTCAAATGATGATAAAAATATTACTTTTTTTTTTCATAGATTGCTAATATTAACAAGAAGGATTATATTCAAACCTTTGATGATATATATGTGTATTGATCTTTCTAATATATCAAAGTCGTCCCATATTTAATTCATAAAAAATACTTAAAATAAAAATATATATTTTTTTTCTTCATAGTATCTCAGATCTCTCTATAACTTAATTTCTTCTTATGACCTCTCCTCTCTAGCTAGATTTTCTTCAATTGAAGAATAACTTTTGTTTTTTTATCTACCACAATGTCTTCTTCTTCTTCTCTTAGCTATTTTCATTCTACTAGTCTTCTAAATGTTTTCTTTAAATTATCATAAAAAATATTATATATTAGTTTCTATTGTTCCCTTTATTATTAACAAAAATAATAGAGCTTTCATTAACAAATTTGATGTGAATGCTTCATAGCATCTCCATAATAGCTCACAATTAACAACAAATTTTTCTTTAAATTGAACTTTTGAAAAGCCTTTTATCTTGATACAATTAAAACTTCTATTCTTTTATCTTATACTAATATAGTTAGAATTATTCTTCTTTTTTTTCTTTTTTTTTGAAAGCGATCAATATAACACATTGTGTAATCAAGATAATCAAGCTAAAAGCCCAATTATAAGAGCAAAAGTTACATCACAAAACTGAGAAATTTCAAAACGAACAATTTATCACATCAAATTTGATAACTTTTCAGTTGTGGGCATTTCAAACAAGTTCAAAATTAGTAATGTGTTCAGCCCAATTCAAAAACTCTCTTAATGACTTGATTAATCTAGCCTAAATAAATATAGATGCATCTACACTGTCAAACAAACCAGCACATAAAATAAAACATATCAATGTTCTTAGATTGCATGCATCTACATGACTGAAATATTTTATCATTTTATGCATCAATGCATGCCATATAAGATTTCATGATATTTTTAAAACCCTATCACCACCATAGTGCATGCATGTATGACTTAAGAAAGAGAAAGAAAAAAAAAAATCATCAAATGGTCTCATCACATAATTGTGCCCATTATGTTGTTGTTGGTTAGGTGATGGACAACAACAAACTCAAGAAAGATTCTACTATGCAAACTTACAAGGATATAAGACTCTAAAGCAAGTGATACTCTACAAGAAGGAGGTCATGGATGTGAACTAACTCACACTTTACATTAAAAATATATTGTAGTGGACCTTCCACTTGCACTAGAAAGCAAAATTGCCTCATTGAAAGATTGTTCACCAAGGATTACAAATTATTTATATATATTTACACATAGAGAGAGAGAGAGAGAGAGAGAGAGAGAGAGAGAGTATAACTATAGAGTTAGTATTATTTTTCAATATCTATTTTCAACTTTCTACTTGCATGATGATGACAAGTGCTGTGGAACTATCTTTAGATGCTTCTTGATTGAAAGCAAGACAATTAAGAAAAGTATGATTAATTCCTATTTAATTTAAGCTTTGAGTTGAAGTGGCTTCTCATTTAGTTGACTAAGGCATTTAGCTTTTGGAAAAAAAAAATAGTGGTAGGAAGGATATGCATAAAAAAAAAAACCGTCTTGATATAAAGTATACATGAATATCTGGATTTTTTTTGTTCATGAGCTTTCTAAGAAATGGCCCCTGAGAATTAATGCTGGAAGTTACTCTCGAATTTTAGAACTGAAATCTTTATAGGAACTTTGATTTTGATTTTTAAATTTGTTTGTTGAATGCATGGATTTAAAACTGGGTCGAACTATCTGGTTTAATGAATGGACTGATCATATGACCGACCTGATCAATCTTAAGAACATCTCGCTACAGCAAACTAATAGGAATCAGTGAGAACCATCAGTTTCACGAGTGAACTATCAAATCAACTCGGATTTCTTTGAAGAAAATAGTTCAATTGTCACCCCATTGAGAAATTAAACAAATTAATTTAAAAGTTTACTATAAATAATGAGCTTAATTTTTTTTTTAATTTTATAATAAACATTAAATTATTAGAATAATCATCTACAAAATAAGCACAAACTTCAACATTTTGACGTGATCCCACCCATGTGAGACCTAAGTATATGCATTAAAAAGAAGAAAATAATGAGACTTAAGGGTATAAATTTCTTTTAATTATTGGAAAGATAAGAAGAGTCATGCTTAATTTTTTTTCTTAATATGAAACAACGAGGAAGATCCACCTCGAACCTCTCCTCCTTCACCATTCTGCTTCTCCTTCACTTACCGCCTTCTTCTCTGCACCCCTCTTGCTCCGTTCCCCTCTCCAAATTTCCTTCCTTTATACCTTTTTCTGTTCCCTTTTCGTCTTCCTCACGATACCAACATACCTCAAAGCCCATATTGATCGACTAGAGGGAGAAGCAAGAGCAGCAGGACGAGCAAAGGCATAGAAGAAGAAACAGAAGACGATGAGAGAAGAAGTAGAACCCAACTGGTTTCCCCGATGGGAGGAGGAGCTACCAAGCCCCGAAGAGCTTATGCCCCTCTCCCAGTCTCTCATCACCCCCGACCTCGCCCTCGCCTTCGATATCTTAACGCCAAACCCTAGCTCCGCGCCACCGCCTCCTCCTCCGCCGGATTTTGATTCTCCGGACCTCTCCGCCCCTCCTGAATCTGTCTCCACCGGCTACGCCGGCGAAGAATCAGCTCGCACCTTGAAACGGCCGCGGCTGGTTTGGACGCCGCAGCTCCACAAACGATTCGTCGACGCAGTCGCCCATCTCGGAATCAAGAACGCCGTCCCCAAGACCATAATGCAGCTCATGAGTGTTGACGGTCTCACTCGCGAGAACGTCGCCAGCCATCTCCAAAAATATCGTCTTTACCTCAAGCGCATGCAGGGTCTAAGCTCCTCCGCCGCCGGCCCGCCGATGTCGGCCGCCGACGCGGCCACGGAGCATCTTTTTTCAAGTAATCCCATCCCTCACCCTTTCCTCTGCCGTGACGGATCTGGACAGGAGACTTATATGCAGTTCTTAGCTCCGCCTCTCCTGCATCAACATCAACACATGGCTGCCGCTGCCGCCTCAGTACAGAACCAGCAATATTATCATCAGAGACAAATAAGGCATTTGGGATCAGCTAGTGATTATGGGCTGTTCGCAAGGGGAGCAGCACAGCCCCTTGGTTTGCACAGGATAGGGGGTTCTTCTATAGCCATGATGCAACCTCCTACTATGGCTTCCTTGCCAACTTCTTATGGAGATGACATGGATTCTGGGTCTGGAAGAGGAGGTAGGAGGGTTTTGACTCTTTTTCCAACAGGAAGTGAAGAATGAACCGAGCTTTCTTATTCCATTCTGTTTAAAGATTACTTGAAGTTAGAAGGATTTCTGAGAATCAAGGTAGATCTTATCTAAGTGTCCCTATATGTTTTCCTGTTGCGGCTGCCGGTACTGGGTCAGAAACATTGCTACCCTTGCTGGCCATGTTTTTTTTTTTCCTTTTCTCTGTTGTTAAATTTGTGCAAAGGCCGTTCATGGAAAAATATTTTCTTCAAAGAAGTCTTTTTGGTTTCAAATCTGAGGCTTTAAGTCTTTGGATTCTGCTTCGGTGACAAAGATTCTGTTTTGCAAAAGAGCCAGTAAAGCTTGACTTTTTTGTTTTTCGGTACTTGCATTTGGAATCATCAAAAACTTTCTTTTTTTCATTTTTTGTTGGTATGAATGTGATAATTAGTGCACCTGTTTTAATAGAAAACTCAGGATGTTGTAAGTTTTGAATGTAAACCAGTGCTCTCTGGAAGGGAAAATGGATCTGGAACATCTGAAATCTTTCAAATCTTAACGTCTCTTACAAACATTTCATCAAGTTGTTTTCTTCCTAGCATCTCTAGCATAGTAAAATTTACTTGTTTTGCTTTGTCCTTTAAATTGATGTAGTTAACCACTGTTGAACAGTAGTCTTCTATGTTTAGGAATTTAGGTTCTGTTATCCTAATTTAGGCTTCTTTTGAGACGGCATTCTTACTGCTTGCTAAAGCAGCTTTCTAGTACAAAATTTTTAAGAAAGCTGCTTTAAGAAGCAGTAAGAAAACCGTTCCAAACGAAACCTTAGTCTAACTTGTTCATGATTATTTGAGAAATTTAGATCATGTCAATTTTGAATATGTTTCTATTTGCCTTCTCTGACTTTGGTTCTTGCAATTTTCCTCCAAAAGTGTGCATTACAAGTGAATATTGATGAGAATGGTGAGCTATGGGCTCATATTTTAGAACTCATTTTGAAAATCCTAGAGTTTGATATTCATATTGATTTCTAACTACATCCAATCAAATGGTGAACTCTCCAAAATTCATTATTTTTTAGAATGTATTTTCTGAATTCAAGCAACCAAAAGAGCTCTAAATAGGCACCATAATTGAGAAATATATATTGATTTTGTAGCAATCAGTCTTTCATTAGGTTCACAAGATTCTCTAAGATTTTAGATTTAGCTTCATAGGTTGTTTTATGTATATTTCTGCTGAAACCAGAATTCAGAATACTGGATACAGCTGTAGGACTTGATTTAGGGGCTGTCTGGTAGCAGGATTTAGGCTGGATTTGAGGCGGATTTAAGTGAAATCCAGCCAAACGGGCTAAAATGCAAAACCAAATCTCACGGCAAATGAAAGCCGCCACAGATGGAAAATTCCACCTTTTCGTGCCAAACCCCGGATTTCCGAAATCCTGTTTTTTGCCGGATTTACGAAATTCATTGGCTCGAGAGGAAAAGTCTGCTCGTTAAATATACTCTATAGCCAAACAGTCACATAGGATTTAATAAGATTTATCATGAATGTTGCCAAACAATTTTCAGGATTTAGGCCCCTCAGAATTTACGAAATCCTACTTAAATCAAATCCTGGGTGCTACCAAACAGCCCCTTAGTTTCTTATCAAACATTATTTATTTCGTTGTTGTTTTCTAATTATATTTAGCGGAAGAGGCTGTACCCCACAGAATTTATCTTGTCAATTTAATTTCTCTTTGACTTCGCATTTGTTACTGTATTTTGTCAAACTTTTTAACTTTATATTCCTGCAAATATTGCATACTGATAAAAATTATAGCTAACTTCCTGCAGTCTATTTAAGCTAGGAAAATCAAAGTTTCCTAAGACTTTTGTCCTTGAGGTAAAGTTTACAATTTTACTCTCAAGTGCATGAAATTGATAGTTATCAGTTAATTTAGTCGATAAAATTTTCAAAATTATGATAAAAATTTTGAATTAATGCTTATTCATTAACAAAAAGGGGAATTTACATACATAGCAAATTCACTATGTACTGTATATATTTCACCTCTAAAATTTAGTATTTATGATATTTAGCACCCATTAATGGCATTAGCTGATCTCGTAGATGATGACATCAATGGGGGTAGAGAGGAGCACGCAGGCATGCGGGGAATGTGACCGGTGGGTGCGACGGAGCTCACAAGCATGTGGCGGCGAGCTGGTAGGCAAGCAGCAGTGGTGATCACATGTGAGCAACATGAAGCTCGCAAGTTAGGGCATCAACATCTATGATGGCACACGCTACGGGAATGATAGCTCTCGCTGATGAGGTTAATTTTTTTAATGCGGGAGATGTTATTTTTGAGTTTATTTTAAATTTGGGTGCTATATTTTTAAATAGTAAAACTTAGACGTGAAATATTTCAATTTGATAGTTTTGAGTGTTATTTTTGTAAATCTCCCTTAAAAAATTGCATGAAATTGGCTAGTGGCTGGAGGAATAAAAATTTTGCTGGTACGTATATCATGGTCCAATAATGCTCCATAGAGACTGAATAAGATGAAGCTTATTAAATTTTGTATGTGCTAATTAAAGTTTAGTTTAGCTTATCTGTATACCCTTATCATGGTGATGAAGATTCTTCCCCCCTTTTGTCTCTCTACAATTTTATTTTACTTTTTTTGTTGCCAGACTTTTCGTCGTTATCATGTGCTGCAATTTCTTAGCTGAAATATATATTTTTGTATATTATTTGTATAAAAATATGGGATATGTAGTACATTTTAGTTTAGTGGTTCGAAGCTTAAGCCATCAACCAAGAGAGAAATTATTCTGTGCGGACGCCGAACACCGCTCAGAGACCAACCAGAATGAGCCACGTCACCCCCTGCTCCGTACTAGGCTCGGTAGTGCTCGGTACCGCGGCTCAGTACAAGGCTCGGTACTGCTCGGTACCCGGTTCAGTACTGCTGATGTGTCGCATTCTGATTGGTCTTCAAATAATAAACTGCGTTCAACGTTCATACAAAATAATTTCTCCAACCAAGAGGTCTTGGGTTTGAGGTTTATATTATAGTTTGTGTGCTTTTATGATTTAATCCGCTCGGAGTCTCAAAAAAGTTCGGAAAAAAAAAAACTTATGTTAGGTTCAACTTTTGATGATTAAAGTAAATTAGCTTTTGATGTCCTGTAAGGTCCATTTTGTTCTTTCTCAGTAATATTTTTGTAGGATTCAAATATATCCTTGAGACGTGAGTGATATCATAATCTACTAACATGTGTAGAACATGCTTAATAGAGAATTTTGAATCCTACAAAAATATTACTCTACAGAGATTGCTTGTGATCAAACGACCACTCTCCTCTACAGAGATTGCACCATGTGAACTTGTCATGAGAGAACCAAACAATAATGTAGTCCATCTCAGTGACCTCCCTTGAAGGTCTCACCCTAACATATTCACGCACTGAGGATCACTCACCTCAATCGAACTAGCTCACGATAGCAATTGTCCATGATCAAGGCCACTTGCCTGTAGCCCGTAGCAAACATCCCCGGTTGAGCTATAGGAGTGCACACCTCTAAAGCCCATGATTACGACTACATTGGCTCGACTTGTACTTAACATATTGCTATCATCATCCAAGGGACTTGCCCCTCACTCACAAGGATTCGACATTTTTCCCTAGGAACTCTAGGTTTGTTCCTAGGAATTTGCTAGCATAGACTTGTCCTATAAACCAAATTTTGAAGGCTCATCCAAGTCACTCGCTCTTGAAGAATGGAACTCATCTGAAGAGGAGGCCACATCGTAGATTGGGTTCTATGTATACATCTAGGGGTGCAACCGAGTCAAGTCAGCTCGCGAGCCGACTCGGGCTCGACGAGCCGAGCTAAACGAGCTCGCGAGTCGAGCTCGAACACAGTTTCGAGCTCGAATGCTTAACGAGCTCGAGCTCGAACAGGCATCCGACTCGACTCGTCGGCTCGACGAGCAGCTCGACTGGGCGGGATTCACGAGATAGAGCTCGGGACGACGACGGTGGATCAGATCTCGACGACGGAACTCGCAATGGATGCGACGACGATGGCAAAGCTAGAAACGAACGTGATGACGACGCCGAAGCTCGGAATGGACGTGACGAGATTGAGCTCGGAGCTCAGAGCTCACGACGACGAAGCTCAGGACTACAGATTGGACGCGACGATGACGACGAAGCTCGGAATGGACAATGACGATGACGAAGCTCGGAGCTCGATTGAGCGCGTGACGACGACGACGGACGACGTCGTCATTGGACACGACGACGAAGCTCGGAGCTCGATTGAACGCGCGAACGACGTGATGACGGACGACGTTGTCGTTGGACGCGACCTTGACATAAAACGCGACGACAAACCGCGAGTACTCGCCGACGACGGACGTCTGCACGGCAGCGAAGGCGAGTACGCGACGACATTCTGAGCTCGAATTGAGCTCGATGAGCCGCTCGACAACGAAACGAGTCGAGCTCGAGCTCGGATTTTGAGCTCGACTCGAGTTCGAGCTCGAGCTCGGTATATGAGAGTCGAACTCGACTCAAACAACCCCTAGCTCGAGCTCGACTCGACTCGTTTGCACCCCTATATACATCATCTAGCTAATCTATATGTCCGTGTCAAGCTGTAGTAGTTATATTGTACGCTACTTTTTATATTTTATTCTAAGTGTAGTCTTTTCGGTAGTCCTATCAACCCTTTAAAAGAAAATAAAGAACCATATATTGAATCTTTTTGATGTCATTGTGATATTATACGAGATAATATAATTTTCAACCGACTCTCAAGACTCACCAACTTCCCTCACTTGTTTTCTACTTCTTCCATTTCTATCCACAAAAAACTTCGAACCAGTGGTAATGATCACAGCTTGAAATCATTCCTGTCTAAGGAAAATCTGAATTTACTCTGAACTAAAGTTTCTATCCTCTTTTGAAGTTCACAATAACATAAATCTGCTCTTCTATGCTTGCTAACTTTTACTGATTAGTTTATAAATCGATTTTGAGGAACTCTTATGACTTGAATTAGGAATTATGTATTTCATTGTTCTTCTTCACCCACTTTGATTATCTAACTCTTACCAGATTAGTATTATTTGCTGAAGTAGTTTGCCCATAAACTGTATTCAAATATCATGCTCACCTAATGTGCTCACCAATGTCAATTGAGTAGTTAACTGAGATTTTAAGTCAATAAAATAGTACTAAGTTGCCCAGTTTTCTGTATCTCAAAAACTGTTGTTATTAGATTCCAACACCAACTTAGCTGTGAGAGAGAAAATGAAGAGCAATGCTTCTCACAACCACAAACATCAAATATTTTTAACACATTTCTTATATGATCCTCTCTCTCTCTCTCTCTCTCTCTCTCTCTCTCTCTCTCTCTCTCTAAGATAAATATAATCTATTAGAAGATGGTAGCCAACAAAACATATTCTCTTTTTTTTTTTCAATGAATATCATGAATAAAGATGTCATTGAATATCTGGTACTCCATAGGTGTCAAATATGGATTACAATCACACTATAGGAAAATGGTTGTTTATCGGGGGATATTTATCCGCCGATATAAGCGGTATTCAACCATTATGCCGGAAAATAAGCGGTGGAATTTCCGACAAAAACCGACGGAGTATTTGAAGCCGGTATAGAATATCGGCGAAAAAATCACTGAAGAGTTCCAACGGATATTTCACTGACTTACTTAAACCCGACGAGACCTAAACAGCAGAATTTTGAACTCAACTAGAGTTGATTTCGAACTCATTTGATTTGAATCAAATCTATTTCGAGCCAGCTAGAATTTCAGCTGGCTTGAAAATAGCATCTAGCTCAAATCCTGATCCGAGCTAAAATTTTCTCATGGTCAGAGTTCTTCCGATTCGAATGAAAATTAATTCGATATTCGAGCAATATTTTCTCTCAAACAATTGGAAGTATCAATCAAATGAAAAATTTACCATTTTTCCTTGTTATTTCAATCTCTTGTTTGATTTCTTCATTTTTTTCCCTTCCTATATCATGCATACCAAAGTCATTGCATTCATTGGGAGTTATGTAGATTTTTGTAGAGAGAGAGAGAGAGAGAGAGAATAATGGTTTACATGTGATAATGAATGAGAAAGCAATGCTTGATGAAAGATTGAAGAAACCCATTGATCTCATAACTTTTGGACTTAAATATGATATAGACTAAATGTTGTTTAAGATCTATGTGACAATTAGGTGCATGTAGTATTGTGTACAATCTTCATATGCTATTTTTCTGGCTGCAATTTATTGCCAATATGAATAGATTTTGCATTAATTGCGGTTTAGTTATTACAAGTGGGACACAAATAACAAATATCATAAGGATCTGCAAAGTTGGAATTGTCTCATAGACATTAATGAAAGAATGTATCTTTTTGAAAAATACGCCGAAAGAACATGACCCTGATTGTTTTTTTAGTCACTTTGACTTCATTTGGGACAATTTTCTTAATGTAAAGCAGCTTTCTAGTTCCAAAATTTATTCAAAAGTAAAAAATAAAAGTTCCTTTTTATTGCCTCTCTCTCTCTCTCTCTCTCTCTCTAAGAAATTAATGAACATTTAATATTTGAAAGTATAAAACTTCATATCATGATTTCTCTTTAATAACAATGTATCATGGTTGTCAAGCATTATTTCAAAATTAGTAAGCTCCTTATTATGATTAAACACATTCATTAATCAATCATAACTATTCCTAAAAAGTTGCATATAAATAATATGAATTATAACATATTATTATTTTTATTATTATTGTTTTAAATCATGTGTGATTGAAACTCATGATTTTAGAGAAATAATCTTTTTGAATTATTAGGTCATTGATTATTTATTTTCCTATATAATATATTATACAGAGTCATATATGATATTATTTCACTAGTCACTTAATGAAAAGTGGAAGTTGGAGGTACAATTTGATATCTTATGATGGGATATTTCAACCTCTAACATTATGTAAATGGGTTATGATAGGAGATTTCAACTTTTGAAAGTATATAAATGGGGGTTAACTTTCATATTGGATAAAATTTATATACATTATAAATTATATTTTGAAAAAAAAAAAAAGACTACTATAGTATCTAAATTTATGTAAGATTGTGTTGTTTCAAATAAGGTTCACATTATCTCTTCATATTAAAATACTCTCCTTAATCTTCATAGTATTCTCTACAAAATGAAGATGATATGTAGGATATATACCATGATTGGCTCTTTACAATTGGTCATATTGTGTAAAAGCCTTTATAGCTTCACCATTTGTTTTAAAGTTTGCGAGCTAGTATAGAATATTTAATCCTTGAGATGGGCAGATATCCAACACACAAATAAATAGTTGAGAGAGTGCGGAATCATCAAAAATTTTTACTTGGAAAACTTAAATAGGGAAAACCCATGGGGCCTTGCTGAGATGAGAAGATTCTATAATATTTGAGTGAGTTACAAAACTTGACTGGTCCATTAACTTGGAGACTGTGAAATTACAACACTTTGCAGAGTTTATCAAACTTTGTGTAGGTACACGCGGGAGGTTTTAATGATCATGGTTAGACGACGAAAGTTGGGTGTACGATAACAATGATTGGGAGAA